AGTTTTGTTCCACATTGTTCTCCCTCTCTATCCAGGATCTCCTACATAGATCCCCCTCTGAGTGGTTGACAGTCGTAGCCGGGCACCATCTAGTTCTTCTGGTCTCATAATCTAATTAGCTGAGGATCGCATAGTGTTCCAGCCGTGAGGACTAATTGTTTTCATGAATCTTTTGTTTTCTTCATTCTTCTTTGCTCTAGAGGAGAGAAACATCATTGCATCCAGATGGCTGCTTGCAAGCTTTTAAGATCCCAGTCACTACTCTTTCTGCTGACTTTTGCAATAAGTTTTTTTTCCCAATAATTTCATTTCATTTCTTTGTGTTGCCTTTTTAGCTACATTAAACAACAAGAAAACAACCAAACCCACTGCCTTCGAACAGATTCCAACTCATAGCGAGCCTATCTAAAGGACAGAGTAGGACTGCCCTAAAGGGTTTCCAAGGCTGAAAACCTTTAACAAAATAGACTGCCTCATCTTTCTGCAGAGTACCTGATGGGTTTGAACCACTGACCTTTTGGTTAGCAGCCAAAGGCTTTTATACCACTAGCTCTTTATTCTTGTCACCACTCTCCTGTCAGTTTGTTGTACTGTGGTTGCTTGCATGTTGCTGGGAGGCTGCAAGCTATGGCACCGGTATTCCAAATCAGCAGAGTCACCCTCAGTGTTGCTTCCAGACTAAAACAGACTGGGAAGAAGACCTGGTGAGGTACTAGTAGACACTCAGCCAGTGACAACCTCATAGAGTACCTGGAATCAATCTGAATTTGGCAAAGGGGAAATCTTCCTTTGAAAATGGTCCCATTAAGTGAGGAGAGAACACGTTAGACCTCTTTGGAAAAGGGAAAGACCCAACTTTGACTAGTCCCCTCCTCCTGTAATAAACAAACTCAGGACAAATAACCTCCTCCCTTTCCAAGCATGATTTTTACCCTTGGGTGTCTACTGTCCTCTGGATAGCAGCAGAACACTGCTAGGACTGGGTAGTGTTTTGTTCTGTTAAGTTCGCTATGAGTCAGAACCGACCACTACACGGAACCTAACAACTTTGTTATTACCGTGTTTGCTGTAAGGTTTAGAGTATACAGGCTCCATTTATCACAATCATCTTTCAAGTGATATTATACTGTTTCACACCTAATGTGAACCATATTAATAGTGATTTTCATTTCTTCTGTCATAGTCTTTATGCTATTTTTGTCATACATTTTATTTCTACAAGTTATAAATCTCACA